ATGCAGTGTCGGTGGGGCGGATTAAGATCGCCGGTCCTTCACGATGGTTCTGATGCGCGAGTTGAATTTGCCAAACTAGAATATTCAATGGGACGTCAATATTTTTGAATGGCAGCTGTATTTATTCAACAGATTGCTGTATTTCTTTAATACTACCTACTTTTCCCGTCTGGCCGCAAATCTTAGGCCTTTACAATACCTTGCAAAGGAGTGCAAAAGAAGGATTCACCCTAAAGTGAATTTTTGTAGATTGCTGATGTATTCTCTAAATATTATTTCTATGTAAATGGACATTGCTTTATACTAATAGTTACACATCGGGCCCACTCCTTCCATAGTTTTCACACCTGCAAGTAATAAAGCAGACTGTTGGAAATCTAACGGACTATGCAAACGCCGCGCAGATAGCGAAAACATCGCGAGGCCCACTTCTCTGCCGCGTCGCGGCGGCAGGCTGACCTCTCGTGGAGTCCTAACCGTTCCCCGAAACATGGCTGCCGTGACCTCTCGTGGATCCTAACCTACACCCAGCGCCAAGCGCGATCGGGGACACGCACCATCATCCGCAGCAGACCAGAGTTTGAGTTGTACCGTTTAGTCACTCACGAGATTGTCATTATTACATTATATCGGATTAGTTTGATGAATGAAAGTTTTGTACTATTTTTTACATATCCGAGTTCTCTACAAAGCAAGTTTCGCTGTACAGGACTCAGCACACTGACACCTTTGCGCTGCTCGTTACTGGCTACCGCACTCACTACGACCCCCCCCCTCTCCTGGCGGCCAAATGTACTGCACTCATTACGACCCCCCTCCTCTCCTGGCGGCCGAATACAACCCCCCTGTTGGGGATTCCCCAACCAATGATGTTCCCTGCTTCCTGGTTATTTTGGATGCGCAGCGTTACTTTCCAGTTCCGGCGAAACAGGCATTGTAAGAGATGAGCGCAGCATGTTTTGTCGCACCGCCAGCGCAGATGTTCCACACCTGCAAAAAAGCTACGATTCCAAACCTAGGACCTCTCCTGTTCAATCACACTCCTCTTTCTCTTTCCACGGACATCGTCCATTTGATTGTTGGTAATCTGGCTATAGTATGGATGAATTCCAGGAAAGTTGCGGTCATCCGTATATCTTCACCAATAAAGGAAGTAAATGAGAGTCGAGCTCTGGCTGTTCCTGATCCCATTCGCTTTTTCGAAACGAATCTCTCCAGCGGAAAATGAACGAATCGAGGAGACTTGCGGAGCAAGATATAACAGTGAGTTCAGAAATTTACAAACGAACCCATTCGGCACCACTCGCTCTTTGGGGCTGAGGTTCAGACGCCAATGCACGTCAGCGTGGCTATAAAAGGGCAGCCGTAAATCGGATAGAGCGGAAGACGCGAAATGATCGATGCCGGCCGTAGCGCTGCGACCCCCTTCACCGCAATGTATGAACGCTACCTAAATCCCCACTCTTGAGACTTAGGGATCGACTTTATCTGAGAACTGTCTTCAGGGTGGTTTCTAGCCAGCGATCCCATTCCGGGCGGTTTTGGGTCACAGTGAGCATATAAGAGACATTTTTCTCGAAAACTTCCAATGAGGAGCACGCATGGAATTGGGAGAAGCTTTCCTTCAATGCACCAACCACCCCCCCCCCCCAGTTTTCTTACCTCTTACATAGACACGGCCCCCAATAGTCGTGACCATCGAGCGGGAGGGAGGGAAATAGCGGGGGGAGGGGGAAATGCTGCGATCATATGTGATACAACCAGTAAGAACAACTTGGAAGAGAACCACAGCTGAGTTGTTATCAACTGGTGTGATGCTATGAGAACTAGATGAGATATACAGCAGCGCTCAAGGGTACAAATTCATTTATTTATTTATTTACTAGCACTTACGTGCACCATCGACAGCAAAAAAGAACATGAATATTAAGAGCATACAACTCAAAGGCAAATCAGACCGCTGGAAGGCAAATCCAAACCGAAACAAAAGAAAAACATAAACCGTTAGGTAGGTATACTGACTGAAACATAGGCAACAAACGGTCATGCATTAAAAACCTCTTCCCCATACTACACCTCAGCACTACATTAGGGTGAAATTGATGAGCCATGTGGACCTGCGTCAGAGGACGAGGAAACATTATACATAACTACCGAGTTCATAATTGAATGAAAGCGTATGCCTTTATACTATAGAAAGACAGAATTTCTCCAGTAAGCAACTAAGGCGGTGGGACTAGTTTAGATATGTAAGAAGAAGGATCAGCCCGAGCAACGCAACTAGCCAGGGCTATTCCGAGGCGGGCCCAAGTAGATACCTCTTTGATCTAAATACGAACCTCAGGCGTAAGACCCTGGCCCAAGTGAAACCCGAGTGAGTGGGCCTAGATGAAACCAGGTCACTTGTTGATCCTTCCTCTTATAGTAAGTAATAGTAAGCGTGAGCGCCTTTTAGTGCTCAAGGCAGGCACACGAACAAGTTGTCCGAGACGATCCTCTGAGGTAGGGACAATGGCAACATCATAAACGTGTGCACTGTAGACCGAGGTGTGGGGTATGGGTAAGAGATAATAGAAGAGAGAGAACTTAGGCAGAATGTTCTAACGGCTAATGGAAATCTCCCGAGCTACGAACGTCCCTTCCTTCTTCTCAACGACCAAATACCATCCCACTCGTCGCGACGTCCTTGATGCACGCTTGAACTGCTCCTGATGTCTTGAAACAGGCGCAGACGTATTGAAATGATGTTTTTATGTGAAATAATGCTTACCACTCAGATTAGTAATCTGAATTCTTCCCTAGAGTTGTATTTTCAACGGTGGAATAACAAATGATAGATAGTTCCTCCGCATTAACACGAACTTCTAGTTAGGCATCGTGGCGTAGGTGGTTTTTCGGTCCCTCGTTTACGCGATCGATAGCACATGCGTTCGTCGACCGACGCAGTCAACAACATGCGCGATCGATGCGTTGCCGTCGCGCAGTCTGAACGCCGCCTTGATGCTTGCATTTCAGAGGCCGCCATGCAGTTGTCATTTGGCGGGCGACATATACTTAGAAATGAATATCCATGGGTTGTGTCCATAGCAATGGAAAGAGGTAGGCTAATTCTTACAGAAAGCTTTGCTTTGATTTTCTTCTCTACTTATCTGACAGTGGAACAGTGGAGGCGCTACACTCACAGCTGAGATCAAATCTTGGAAAGGTACACTTAACGCATACTGTGGGTAGTGGTGTTCCATTATGGGATTATGATCGGTAGCTCACTCCCCACAGAAAAAAAAGCAAAAAAAAAAGATAAGAAGAACACCTTGAGGTTCCCGCGACCTCACGGTGAAAGTTCTGCGGACCACCTCGTTCCGAGAGGAACCTAAACCCCGACGTGAATATTTTCATTATCACTCAGCCGCGTCGCGGCTTTCGCAATCGTTTTCGAGCGCTCTGTTTTAACAAGAGTCGTACCCGCCCGACACCTTCATATTGAAAATGATGTGCTTCATGCCATTTGTTGCTGAGTTAGCTTTGAGCGAAATGCGTGTGTTACCTGATCAGTCCAGTATTTTCTTCAGTTTTCTGGTTCTCTAAAGATTTCTGCAGCTAGTTTTGTCTTGTATTTACTTTGTGTTTGGTTACCTGATCACTATTGCATTTTCTTCGGTTTGTCCAACATTTGCTCTCATTCTGAGTTGAGACCCTAAAAGGTTCTTTCTTCACATTCATGGAAATTATGAAAAAGGAGCTCGCAAGAACTGTGACTTCTTGGATCTCTTCTGATAACTCAATTTCAGGTTGAACGACAAGAAAGAAGAGGCCTGCCTTGGCTCTATTGATCAGCTTGCCAATGGGATGGAGAACTTAGTGGGATTCATTTTTAAAATTCTTTTGTAGCAGTATCTCTGCATCCTCAAGCATATTTCGTATCATGAGGTGAAAATTTCCTTCACGTCACTCCTATTCTATAGGTCCGCAGTTTCTACGATCGATTCTCCTAAGCGATAATACTCGAAGCATGAGGAAAGTGAGCGATTTTCTCAGAATTGACTTTTATTTCTTGTATCCGTTGTATCTGATCATCCCGTTCGTTTGCGAGTGGAAGGGGTCCCCGCTCCTCAGTAAGAATATTCAGGAGACAAAGCGAAGTCATGTAGCGCACAGGCCTCAGAAAACGCTTAAAGAATGAAAAAAATGAAATGAAAAAATGAACAGACTCACCTCATGACACGAAATTTATCTGGGGATGCAGGCGTGCTAATATAAATTAGATTCCTGAAAGATGAGTCTCAGTTGGTTGTAGATCCCATTAGCAAGCGAATGAACAGAGCCAAGGAAAAAGGGCATTTCTGGGCAGGCAGTCCAACTGAGCGGGTCAGCTTCAACTCATGGCGACTGCAGCACTCTCGTCACTCATTGGGGTGTAGTAAAAGGAGGACAACCCCTCAGTCTATAGACTGGACTACTCGGACAAGGAAGAGAGTCTAGGGGCTAGTTGAGCGCGTAGTCTCTCTCCCAGCTAGAACTTTGTACCTGTGGGTATTTTGATCCTGTGTACGATCATCATATCCATTCGGCACGAAGGCGCCAAGCGCCCACCTTACTGGCGCCAAATGGACACGTTCTGAATAGATTCGTTAACTTTGACCGCTTATAACTGGGTTTAGGTAGCGATTTCGGTTCCCATATTTGTAGCCAGAATTCCGAGCTCCACTGATATTGCAGATTTCAATCTGTTCGAAGATTCATGGGATGCGGAAGCCATTTTCTAGTTAGAGGGAAGAAAACATATCGATGCGAAGCAGCGTTGCCCCATTGACTACAGCAGAGTCAAATGCCAATAACGCACTCGCCACAGCAGAACTGTTAACTTTGCACGTCTCATCGCCCAGTTTTTTTTAGTTTGTCTGCCATTTCTGAGCTTCGTAGTAGTTGTGGTACGGAAACTGTGTTACTAATGTTGTTAGCTAATGACACTTAAAAAATTTCACGATTAGATTCCAGGTATCATGTGCAGTGGGGCCCTTATATCGTCGCGCCACGTACTGACAGCAGCTCATTGTGTACGAGAGACTAGGGATGCAGAGATCTTATCACAAGACGAGTGCAGAAGAACAGGATACATGTACTTGGTCTCTCAGTGTTATAGCAACACACAGTGTTGCTCTTTGATGCAAATTCACGTCATTCAGAAATACGAACAGGCTTCTTGCCCCACCCGGAATGTATACGGTCGCAATTGGAAGTGCTTGCAAGCATATAAGAAGGCTGCCCGAAGATATTCCTGAGAAGAATAGCTAAGGTAAGGTTTTGAATATCCGGCGGCGCTGTTATGCATGATCCACGCCGGCAAGCTGGCTTTTTCCGAATGATGGTTCGCCGCTTACCGATGGGCAGAGTGAGATACGAGAAGTAAGGAAATGTTCTCAAAGTTTCTTCAAAGAGAGCTCGAGCAAGAAACGCCGGCTTTCTAGTCAAGGAACGATGTGTAGCCAGCCCCCTCTGGTCAGTCCGGTTGCACCACATTCTTTCTTTTTGACTTGCTGCTTCTCAACATTGAACGGACGGATCGCTTCGAAACTGTGCCCTTCTTTACTGCTTCTGGCTCATGCTAAGGCGGAGCTTGATTGTGAAGAGAAGATAGGCGTGTTGGCGTGCTTCGCTAAGATATGATGGTGGCAGCGATTCCGGTGGCATTTTGAACGGTGAGACAATTGCCACCCTTTTCGATCTTCACGCTCTTCTATGCGCATACGCGTATCCACGCGTCTCTGCTTTTCTCTGAAAGCTGCCCATAATTGCATTTTCCTCGCGACCTCGGCCATTTACAGTCAATATCATGGAAAACACAATTCATGATCACATTTGTCGCGTTCCACGTATTGTGCGGCCACGCGCGGCAACCTCTCGATGGTAGTTTGTAGCTTAGTGCAGCGAATTTGGTGTGAATTAAAGCAAGGATAGGACTCCATGACGAGCGATTACGAGTCTACACCCTTTGGCACTATATTCAAACGACCGCGCAGGGCAACTCGTCTGTCGGGCGTTGCGTCGCTCATCGTCGCCATCAGCACTACCGTTATCTTACCATAAACCCTACGTAATCTTACCTTACCAATCTTTTGCTCATTGCTGTTACTCGTTCCGTCAAGCTTCACAGAGCGGAGACAAAATAGTCTATGACAGTCAATATTACAGCGAATATAACCAGCTTGTACAGATGATTTTAACAACGGTCAAGAGCACTTAAAAAAAGAAAGGAAGAGAAGAAAAGAAAAGACCAGGAGTGATTGTATAGGGGAGCAGAGAGAACACAAGGTTTACTTTTTTATTTGAATGTACGTTAGCCATCAGTATTCCCAAAACGAGAGAAACAAGAAAGGCTGGACCCACAACTGGCACCAGAAATCCATGAACATAAAACAGGGAAGCCATGCAATGATGAACCTTTGCAAGGGTAAACATTTGAGAAAGCGCTCTCAAAACGCAAAGCCTAGATGTGGACAACCGCTGTGGACAACCGCAAAAGAGAAAAGGAAGAAAGAAAAAAATTAGCGACGCACCACCCATTGTTGAACCAAGTAGTAAAAAAGCAGATGGTAGGTGGGTGATGCTAGGGATAACACCACTGACATGGGCACCTGGGCACGCATGTCAAACCTGGAACCAGATTTTCGGATGTTATGTATTCCCTAGCAATCTGACTCCAGGTCCATCAGGTAAGGAAAAGAATAGTTAATTCAGACAGGGCGGGCAGTGAATATCGTGGATCTAGACGAAAATTTCAGTTTCCCTAAAGACCATGCGAAAAGAGAGCCTATTCATTAAGACATAATAATTATACCCTAGGGCAGGCGTAATTGTATATGACCAACAAGATAAAGATGACACTTGACCCATCGCGCAATATGCCACTAAAATTGCTGCAGCCGCCGCATTCGAATGAAGTACGCAGGCATGCCAATCTCGTCTTAGGAATCGGCTTTCTAACTCTGCGCGCTCTAACGTAGACCTTTCTCGCGAAAGACCCTTTGAGGTGGGCACGCATTCTACATCCACTTAGAAGTGCAGTGGGTTATTGAATGCGATTAGGGCTATACAGTGACCTGCAGCTTCTGATCGAGGCCAAGTCAGTGTTCTCATTTTTCCAAACGGAACTGGTACCAGTACACCGTTGCAGGAGGTTAGAAGGCTTTTTTGGCCTGGGCGGGAGCCGATCCGGCATTTGACCCCCGGACTGCGCGAGTGCAATTTGCCACTATACCACCTCCGTCTGTAAAAGAGCGGTTAGGATGAACTGAGTGTTCTTGTAGGATATGTAGTTGAATGGCATCCTAGTCCCCTGTACAGCTTTTGGAAGGGGAAAGAAATGCGTGTTCATGCAGCAGTGGTTCAACCTACTGTCTGTCAGGCGCCAAACAATTATGGGCAGACAATAGGTAGAATCACTGCTCCATGGGCACTCATTTCTTTCCCCTTCCAGAAGCTGTACAGAGGACTAGAATGCTATTCAACTACATATCCTACAAAAATAATTAATTCATCAG